TTGTTTTTGTGTTTCTGGTCTTTGATGAAAGCTATATCGTCAAGTTTTTTGAGGACTCTTCGATTAAAAGTAGGATAGATAGGATATAGTGGTTATGTTAAACTGGTAACTGTGCACACGCTAAAACTCGTGATGATGATGATAATGATGCTGCTGAAACGCCTTGCCGCCCGGGAGGCGGCTAAAATACATCCCCGTTATATCGCTAATATCAGAGAGATGGGGGGTCCTGCCAGAGAGGGAGAGAGAGAGGGATGCGACATCTACGTGGACGGCGCATGGTGAAAGTTTCGGAGGCTAGGCTGGGGCTGGGTATAGTTGCGGTGGGTGGTGTGATGGTGGTGGGTGTGTTGAGAAGCGAAGGTGAGGGGTTATTTTGGCGCTGACGGGCAACCAGTCGACTAACTACGCGGAACCCTTGCGGGCCGAAGCGCCGCGCTTTGGTAGTGTCCAAGGTTCGGGGCAGACCACCTGAGCGACATTGTTAGCATCTGGTGATGTTGTGAGAGAGGAATAGAGCAAGAACGTACCTCGCCTTCGCTGTAGGCCCAGAAGTAGGCCACCATGCCGACAATGTAGTAGAGACCCGAGTTTGTGCCTTGATAGATGAGAAGCGCACATAGCGCACTCAGTGGGTAGATGATCAGTCGAGCCTCGATGGATCGGTGCAGTCCGCTGCCGGCGAGCAGCGGCAACGGCCATTCCCACGCAAGCCCGATGAAGCCGAGAATCATGTTGACGACTTGCAGAATCGGGAGCGGCTTGACGGCGCCATCGAGGTTCTTGGTGGCAAAGTCCCAGAAGATCTTGGGCCAGAAGAAGCATTCAAGTGCAGCTCCTATTTGATCTGATCATGCAAGTTAGTGTCTGGTTCGTATCGTGAGGTACATGGTGGATCAAACTTACACGCAGCAGCCGTGAGGATGACGAGGCGTGCCCAGTGGTTCTTGATTAACTTGCCCATTGTTGTGTGTGATCCGAGAGTCTTGATTAAAAAGAAAGGATACGAGCAAACACCGAGCCCGCGGTCGTATAAGAAAGTTGTAGAGTCAAGGAATTGAAGTTGACGAAAAAAAGAATGTAAAGGGAAATGTCTCTTCTCGACTACCAGTAGCCTAACGACAGATGAGCATCGACGACGGTTGGGTGTGGCGGGTCGGGTTTTGTTATAGACAATGCCTTGCTCGCAGCGGCGGGTCCTAGGGCTTAACGGAAACGGCAAAGACTGCTTGGGTGGCAGGCACTGATCGCAAGAGTGGATATGATATTGCACAGGCGTTATGGATGGCTGAGGCGTAGCCGAGTCTCAGGCTTGTTAGGTGTTCAGGCAGCTTGGTGTTGCCGTTGGGCTTCGCGACGTGAGGTGTATCAGTCTCTCTGGAGCGACAGCGGGAAGGTCCCCCCAAATGTACAAGAGGTTTATGCACGCAGGGCCTTGCCGTCCACACCCCGGTTGCAAATAGCTCGGCCTTGTGTACTGGGGGTGTGGTGCATACCAAGCCGCTTGACCCGCCCTGGGCTTGCGATTTGTGTGGTAAGACGGGTCGATTGGCTACCTGCATGCGATGGTAGCCACGCCAAAAACGGTGCGCCCCTCCAGCCCACCCTATCGGCGTCGATCGTCTGCCGCTTGGCACAGGTCGTGTCGCGTAGTAGTCATAGTTGAAGAGCTACGAGAGTGAATTCCAGCGCTCACGTGGTTGCGATGCAAATCTTGAGGAGCCTGGGCGTCGTTATTGGGAGTACCCGTTGGTCCGGCAAAAGTACCGGTCGGGCCTAGCTAAGACGCCATATCTTGTGTGTTTACTTATGGATAAGCCGTACATGTAAACGATCGCGGTCGTTCCTACACTACAAGCCGGTTCCCACGCTATCGCCTATCTACTTGGCTATTGTCCGTCGCTCATTTTACAAAAAGTAGCTGACGTAGATTCGAAACCGCTGTACAGGGCGAACAATGGGGCCCTCGGATCGAATGGGTAATTCTCCGCAGCCATGGCTCGGCAGTGTGAGCAAGCTTGCGGATGCCTCAGTCCCGGTTTTGCTCTGTGCCTCAGGATATCATACCGTAGACCGGGCGCATGAGGCTCAGCGATATGCATGGAAGATGATATCGAAGCTTGCTCCTAGCCTCCTCAGGCATGCTCATCAAACAACATCATACGACGGCGTTTACCTCAGGTTCTGCCTCGTGGCTGTCAATGCCGTCTAACAAGCATGACAGCTTTTGACACGAAACAAAGTGGTACGACACTCGTTCAGTATCAGTTCGCGGCCGAGGTCAAGCTTTTGGCAAGCCTATCGTCAGCTGGTTGCGTAGGCACGAGAGCGCGGGGGATGCTAAGGGATCTAAGGGATCTAAGGGATCTGTCGAGGGGGTGTTGAACAATGGCCTGATGATGTTTTCTGATCTGCTGAACTAATGTAGACTCGACGACAACCATGGCCAGCCACCCGTTCGTATGACTACATGTGTTTGTTGCTCAGTTTGGACATGGACAACCATGATAGTTGACTATATTGTTTGCTGGACTTGTCCATCAATATGGTAATACCAAGGTAGCCTTATGGATTGGCGGCTCACTACCGTCGGCGCACGAGGCCAGCCCTACAGGACACCAAGAACTAGGCCAAGCCCTAGTCAATACACTTCTTCTCGGCCTCGTATACCACACGCTGCACACCGCCTGTGATGTCACGGCCCTAAGAGCAGACTACTTTGGAGAGTCGACCATCCACGAGGCTGGCACTGGACATGTCCTGCCGTCACGAGCCGGTTCGATTTTAACGAGCCTAAAATAGAGACGAGATCTTGTAAATCTGCAGCCAGACACTGTGCAGCGACGGGCTCAACCTTTGTGGGGGTACCTGAGCGCTTGCAGCGGGGCGTTGATTGGCCATGCCATCAACGCCAATGGTCCGTCCGGTTAGCTCTTTGGACTCGGTACTACCAACCACGACGGAGAAGTGCGCTCTCAAATCGCACTCGGCGCCTCTAACGCAAAATGCCAGGAACGCCATGGCAGCCAAAGTGTCTGGATTGTCTTCCAAGTCTTGTACAGTAATAATAACGAGCGGTACCTGTTCGGGACCCGTAGTTCAGGAGCAGACCCGCCACCGCGAAGACCAGCTCCCCCGCCGATGTCTGCCATCAACTTCAGCCATTGCATACTAACAGTCTGCCTGTAACGACGTTTACCCAACTTGGCGAACCACTGTAGCAGTGATTCATTAAGAGATAGTTAGCCAGCTCGCATCTGTTTCCTCACCACGGCCAGCCCCAACGTGCTGCGTTTCAGCACGTCGTCGCGTATCAAGTAGTATCCCCATCAGGAACTTGGACAGCACATCGGTCAAACCCGCCCCTTGGACGAGAATACCCCCCAAACGGTACCGCGACGGCCTAGCAGAGCCAGATCTGAACGACGTTGACAGACGCATCATCGATACGTCCCATCTAGGAGTCGCATCATCACTCGCATCTTCGCCTCATCCCCGCCACACCAAAACTCAGCCACGTCAACACGACGACGTACCGAAACGGCAGGCGCGTCGCCCAACACCAGCATACACTGCTCTCGACGCATTAGCCAGCGAAAATTAGGGCAACTTCGACGCTCCGAACATCTCCCCTAGTCCAGCGAGAAAACATGGTTCTGTGCCTGGCGCTTCAGGTCTGAGACGCTCTTCACACACTAGCCGCTCGCGCATAGGCGCAAACCCCTCCACCACCCTCAGTACTGCAAATTCACTCCCAAGGCCCATTGAGGTTTGGCGCACTCAGTCATCCATCTTAACGCATCTGGTATACGCTGCATTCCGGGGCATCGGTTTGAGCCACATCCGTACCGAACGGGCCCTGTCGGTTTCAGCAACGTGTGCCGCCTTACCCACAGGGCGCGGCTCTCACAACTGCCACCTGATCTGCGTCGTTAGGCTCGGCTTGTTCCAAGGCTTGATATTCTAATAACCTTGGTGCCCTGCCAAACTTGTGCCGTCCTCTACCTCCGCTCACTCACCTCCATTACATCAGTCCGCCACTCCCGGGACACCGACATTCTTTTTCTTCACTTCGTATCTGGCTGGCCGGGTCGAGCTTCGACTGGATCGTTTCTTTCCGCGTTGGGGTTCGCTTTAAACTCATTAATCTTTTTCCTAATAACCGTTGAACGGCAATCGGACTACATCGACCATCAACCATCGACCATCGTAACCATCTAGCTTTCCAAAGCATCACATATCAAACATGGGTGGAAGCTCAGGTGTATCGTTCTCGCGCCTGTTTACGCCTTCGAAATTCTTTTTTCACTTCTTCTTTTGGGGATTTCATTGGTTCCTATTCGGGTTCGGATGGTACGTCTTTCGTCTTTACATGTCCAACATGCTCCTAACATACTCGCAGGTACAAACAGGCTGCCGATGCGCGTCTAGCACCGCTCAACGCCCTACAGTTTTCAGTATGGGTGTCACGAGGTGCAGGTTTAGTCTTATCCGTGGACACCATGGTCATTGTTATGCCCATGTGCAGGAATATCCTGCGATGGCTACGACCCAAGTTTCGCGCTCTACCACTTGACGAGTCCATGTGGTTCCACCGACAAGTCGCCTACGCCATGCTTTTCTTTACCATTCTCCACGTCGCCGCGCATTACGTCAAGTAAGTCAAAATTAGTATCTAGACCAAGTCTCGACTAACCCATCCAGCTTCTTCAACGTCGAACGTACACAGGTCCGACCTCAAATCGCTCTCGAAATCCACTACACCGAAGCTGGTGGTATCACAGGACACATCATGTTGCTATGCATGCTTTTGATCTACACCACGGCCCATCACAGGATCCGACAACAATCGTTTGAGACGTTTTGGTACACGCATCATCTGTTTATCCCGTTCCTGCTCGGCATGTACACGCACGCAACCAGCTGCTTCGTCCGTGACACTGCGAAACCGTTCTCACCCTTTGACGACGCCAACTTCTGGACGCATTGCATTGGTTACGAGGGATGGCGATGGGAGCTTGTAGGTGGCGGCTTATACCTCTTTGACCGTCTCTACCGTGAGATTCGTTGCAGGCGCGAGACCAAGATTGTCAAGGTCGTTCGTCACCCATACGGTAAGCCAAGTTCAGGATCCCTGGTCGAATATCCCTGCTAACAACGAATAGATGCTGTTGAGATTCAATTCACCAAGCCCAGCATGAAGTACAAGCCTGGACAATGGCTTTTCCTCAACTGCCCGGATGTCAGCTACTACCAGTGGCATCCATTTACCATTACCTCGTGCCCCAACGACCCGTACATTTCGGTTCACGTCCGTCAAGTCGGTGACTTTACCCGCGCGCTTGCTGATGCTCTCGGTGCTGGTCAATCGCAATCGAAGCTTTACGACGAGCTCGACCCCATGGGTATGTACGAGATTGCGCTTCAGTATGGTCAAAAGATGCCTGCTCTCCGCATTGACGGTCCCTACGGAGCCCCCGCAGAGGACGTCTTTGAGAACGAAGTCGCAGTCCTCATCGGTACCGGTATCGGTGTCACACCCTGGGCCTCTATCCTCAAGTCCATCTACCACCTCCGCCTCAGCCCCAACCCACCCAAGCGTCTCCGCCGTGTCGAATTCATCTGGGTCTGCAAAGACACTTCATCATTCGAATGGTTCCAGACGCTGCTCTCTTCGCTCGAAGCCCAGTCTGTAGGCGTCTCAGACGGCGACCAATTCTTGCGCATCCACACATATCTCACCCAGAAAATGGACGTCAACACGGCGCAGAACATTGTCCTCAACTCCGTCGGCACAGACAAGGACCCTCTAACCGAACTCAAATCGCGCACAAACTTTGGTCGTCCAGACTTCCAGCGCTTATTCTGCGGCATGCGCGACGGTATCCTCGACCGCACCTACATGAACGGTCTTGAGAGCACGCTCAGGACAGAAGTCGGAGTCTACTTCTGCGGCCCCAACGTAGCGGCCCGAGACATCAAGAAGGCGTGTAAGCAAGCCGCTTGCCAGGAAGTCAACTTCAAGTTCTGGAAGGAGCATTTCTAGATGGTCGGTTCGGTTGTCACATATTTTCATGGGTTCAAGGCGTAACAATTTCTGCAAAAACAAATGGGTTGTATTATTGTTACAATTTTAGCCTCACAGACTCATCGCACATTTTTCTGGGTTTTTTTTACTTGCTGAGGGAGTAGTGTCGACCTACGGGTGCACTCGAATGAAACGTTTTTTTATTACAAAGTATGATCGTGGGGGGATGAATATGTAGAAGAGGGAAGAAAGAAAGAAGCTTTTTGATACCATGAACATGTCCGACTTTCATCTCTCGTCGTTGTTAACATATTCGTATCGTGAAGTCAGATTTCTCAGCGCTGGGTTCCTCAGCTTCACTTTACCAGCTCAATAACATCTTCTCATTAATTACCCACACACACACGCCTTTCTTCCAAATCTACACACACACCTCAGGCACCTCGCATCTCGCCCAATCTCGCACCTCACACCACCAGCACGCCATCTTGCCTCCCTCCCCCACGACTCACGTAATCACATACAAGCACACACATACCTCAAGGATGCACAATCCACGATGCCCATCCTTCCATCTGTCTCACGCCACCGTCTCGATCGCATCAACGGGTACCTGAGCCCCGCATGCCTTTACATCCAGGTCCCTTGCTTTACTTTCAGGCCCTTGTGCAGTAAGTACTTACAGTACAGACCCTTGGGTTGCAGGCACCTTGCCGGTTGAGACGAGCAAGCCAGGCGGTTACGAGAGAGGACGACTATGTCTGGTGTGTCTCGGCAAGGTGCGGTTCCGTGCCAGGGGGTGCGCATGATGAAACGTGGGTGTGTGGGATGTGGGCTGGGCGGTGGGGGTGGGGGTAGTAAGTAGGAGTGGGAGTGAGTTAGGGCATGGATTGATGGGAGGAGGTATTGAAGGGGTGGGGAGGGATGGGGGGTCAGGTGATGGAGTGGATGTAAGTATTGATGGGAATGTTATAGTGGGAGAGAAAGGGGTGGAATGTGGTGTGCGTAAAACGTAAAGTATGTGATGCAATACTTTGCTAAAGAAAAAGACTGTGATTGGAGTTGGAGGTGCATCATGTGTGCGTTATCGCAACGAACGAAAGCAATCGACCGACGCCCAAGGCCACCCCACCCCATCCACCCCATCATACCACTTACTTTGAAGCCATAAAGTTACTTCTTCTG